GGGGTGGCCATGTGCCCTATGGCTGGGGATGGCCATGTGCCCTATGGTTGGGGGTGGCCATGTGCCTTAGGGCTGGAGGTGACCGTGTGCCCTGAGCCTGGGGGTATCCAGCTGAGGATGGCCACGTGTCCTGAAACCTTGGCATGGATGGGGACATGCACACACCCCAGGCTTTGCAGAGGGGCTGAGGGCACTGCTCGTGGCTGGATTGTGCCACCCACCCTATGCTTGCCCCCAGCACCCACCCAGTTCATGGCAGACACCTTCAGGGATCCAAAGGATGAGCGCACCGCTGCCTGCTGCCCACTGCCCACCTCTCACCCAGCTCCTCCAGGACAGCCCAGAGCAGAGCAGGCAGGGCTGGTGGGGCTCCAGATGCCTCGATGCCACCTATGTGTCCCCAGCTGTGCCCAGTGAGGGCAGTGACCCCATAGGGACCCGGGCTGGGGCAGCCCATTGTGTGTGCAGCGTTACCTTTAGGATCTGCACGTAAGGCAAGTTGTCGGGGCCGATCTTGCTGCCGTTCACCTCGATGTGTTTCAGCCACTGGATGTGGGGCTGCGGGTCGCTGTAGACCTTGCAGACAAACTCCACGTTGCTGCCCAGGGCCACCGTTTTGTTGGCAGGGAGCCCTGCCTGCAGGATGGGCCGATGCGGGGAGCGCTCTGTGGGGATGGAGACCTCAGCATGGGCACCCCACATCCACAGGAGTCTCATCCCACAGAGCCCCACAGAGCGGGTGACAGGTGACATCCCACCAGAGCAGGGGACAGGTGACATCCCAGCACAGGGACATCGTTATCTCTTCAGGGGTCAGAGGTCAAACAAACCTAACGAGGGCCCCAGCCGCTGCCACTGTGGTGAGTCAGCATTAACAAACCCCTTTGTTCACCTCGCTGACTGTTCCCTTCAGTTTGCTCAGTGTAATCAAATTAAATCACATTCTTAATGGTTCATTTACTGGCATTTAGAGCAGCTCCACATGTGGAACTGCTCAGACCAGCCTTCCCAGCTGGGAATTATGGCTAATAAGGCGATTAGAAAAAGTTTCTGTCTGGTCTCTGAAATTATTTCCACCACAATTAAAAAGCCCCAGAAGGGTTCGAGGTGAAGCTCGCGGGGCTCAGCACTGCTGTGCAGGAAGCAGAGCAGCCCCAGAGCCATCCTCACCCACAACATCCAGCTGATAGGTGTGGTTGATGCTCCCGTATTTGTTCTCCACGATGCACGTGTAGTTGCCTTTATCTGATGGCACCACCGAGTCCATGATGATGCTCCAGGTGGCATAGCGGACCTGGGGGCAGGAGGATGGGGGGTGGTGGGTGAGATGTGTGCACATCAGAGCGGCTCAGCCCTTTGGCACAGCATAAATCTGCTCGTGGTCACCTTTCCCCTCTCCTCCAGAGGGACCATAATTGCTCCCAGCTGTCCCAGCACAGAGCCGATTGCTGAGCACCACGGGCTGGGTGCAGGGACACAGCCCTGGGTGGCACAAAGGGAACAGCACCCACATCCACGTGCTGACGGCACGCTGGCAATTCCCACAGCCCTGCGTTTCCACTCCATTTTCTACCAGGGCTTTGCACACAGATGGAGAGAACCAGCACCCTGCTGCCCTGGGGGGCACATTGAGCCCTGCACCCCAAATGCTCCAGGCTGTGCCAAGGCTCTGCAAGAAGAGCAGCACTCCTTCATCCTCCTTCTCCCCCAGTGCAGTGCTGGATGTAGGAGATGTGTGGCGCTCCTGGGAGCTGCAGTTGCCCCAGCCCTCCTGGCTCAGCTCTGGGATTAGTGCAGCCAGGCTGGGCTCATCCTCCCCCCTCCCCCAAAGGTTGAGGCTGCTGCAAACATGACCAAGAAGCAGGTCACTGCCGTGGGTCTGTTTTGCAACAGGAATGTCAGGGGGCCCATCTGCCCTTCCAGAGGCACACGGCTGCACCAACGGGCAGCTCAGGGCCTCTGAAGCCCATTCATTTCCCCTTCTCCCTGAGTGACTCCCAGGGCCCAGACTGCCTGGACAGGACCCGCTCTGTACCTTGTACCCCCCAATGCGGTGGTCAGGCTTGAACTCCTTGCCATTCTTCATCCAGCGCAGCGTGGGGTTGGGCGTCCCACCTGAGGGGCACTTGAATTTCACTGTTTTGGCAGCAGGGACGGCGTGTAGCTTCTTCTCCATCTTCTCAGGATAGGTCCAGTAAGGAGCTACAGCCTCTGCGGGGCACAGAGCAGCAGGATCAGCCATGGGGAGCACTGATGTTTGCTCATGGTTAACCCAGGGCAGGACTGGGGAGAGGTGCACATCTCCCTGGCACATCCCCACGCCCCAGCCAGGCTCTAGGAGGACTGCAGCAGGACTCTGCCTCTCCTCTCCTGCCTCTCAGCCTCTGGATGCCGTTCACATGCATGCCTGGCTTCCCTTCACCCCCATCCATCCCACAAACCCATGCAAACCCATCCCACACGTACGGTTCGGCTTGGTGTTATCTGCCTCCTTCTCCTCCGAGGAGGAATCATCTTCATCATCATCATCCTCTGCAGAAGGGAGTGCGTCTGCAAGAGAAGAGACCCCCAGCTAAGCACTATGCACAGACCCCTCCTGTGCACTGTGCTGACACATGGCATGAGGCTCTGAGAGAATGCTGCATGGCTGGAGCGAGAGATGCTGTCCCAGCTCACAGAGCCCAGGGAGCAGTTTGCCCACAAGGCTGACTTTGGACTCAGGAAGGCAGTGCCCACATTGTGCTGCCAGGCACCCGGAGACATCCATCCATCCACCCAGGTCCTGCAAACAGAGACAGCCCTGACCTTCAGCCAGCACCTCCTGACCGTCAGCACTCAGTCCTCACCACTGTGCTTCAGAACCAACAAAGAAAACCTCAGCTTCAGTTCACCCCGGTGCTCAGCTCCATGCAGACTCACATGTCCCCACGCATGCACTGCCACCGTGGAAGAACACTCATGGACACACAGTGCAGAGGATGCTGGGCACCACCTGTGTATCTCTGAGCAGAAAACCCAGCAGTGCTGGCCTTGCTGCAGTGCTCTGTGCTGATGTGGACACACAGGGTGCAGACAGTGCTGGGCAACCATCTGTGCAGCTCTGAGCAGAAAACCCAGCAGTGCTGGCCTTGCTGCAGTGCTCTGTGCCCATGTGGAGACACAGGGTGCTGGGCACCTTGTGCTGGCCTTGCTGCAGTGCTCTGTGCTGATGTGGACACACAGGGTGCTGGGCACCATCTGTGCAGCTCTGAGCAGAAAATCCAGCAGTGCTGGCCCTGCTGCAATGCTCTGTGCTGATGTGGACACACAGGGTGCTGGGCACCATCTTTGCAGCTCTGAGCAGAAAACCCAGCACTGCTGCAGTGCTCTGTGCCCATGTGGACACACAGGGTGCAGACAGTGCTGGGCAACCATCTGTGCATCTCTGAGCAGAAAACCCAGCAGTGCTGACCCTGCTGCAGTGCTCTGTGCCCATGTGTCCCCACGCTGAGCCACAGGGCACAACCACCATATTGCACAGATCCGGTGGCACATCCTCTGCGTGCCAGCGTGGGCTGTGCAAGACTGCACCCCACCAAACCAACCTGTGCCTGGCAGCCAGCATGCAAGGTGTGCACACAGGCACGCTGCTCCTCGCTGCTGCCCCTGCACCGCTACGAACCTGAGACGTTGACGGAGAAGTAGGTGGTCTCACTCCCCGAGGGGCTGTTGGTCATGCAGGCATAGAGCCCCGAATCCTCGGGCACCGCATCCCGCACCTCTACCTCCTCGCCGGTGATGCGTGTGCGGTTGTTCTCAGGCAGCTGCACTCCATCACGCACCCAGTTGATGCTCTGCACGTCGTCGCGCAGCCGGCAGCGCAGCTGGAGGAGATCGCCGGGGTGTGCAGAGTGGGATTCCACCTCGATGTTCGCTTTGGGCAGAGCTGGAGGAGTTGGGGAGAGAGGGAGAGAAAGGGAAAAAAGAAAAGAAATAGAGACAACGGGACACCGGGCTGCTGAGGGTCGGGTTAATGAGGCGACATGCGCTGCGGGGACGTGGCTGAGGTATGGGGGTCGACCCCGAGCACAGCCACGCTGAAAGCAACCCAAGCAGCAGCGAGGCATCGCCCCAGGGCACAGCCATGGAGCCCAAAGCTACGCAAGCGCCCTCAGTCTCCTGCCAAGCGCTGCAGAAGGGGTTTGAGATGGGGAGGAATTTGCAACCTGAGGCACGTTGGGCAGAGCTGGCAGCAGGGCAGGATGAGGAGCACCAAACCCCACGCGGATCCACCCCAGGGTCTCCCTGCCCAGCAGCAGACAGCCAGCAAAGCAGGCCTGAACCCCTCGCTCTGGTCAGCACCAGGCAGTTAGAGGGCTATGCCGGGACAGCAGGCAGAGAGCAGGGCTCAGAGACAGTGCTGGAAGCTCAGGTAGGCAGGCAGGGGCTGTCAGATGCTCCCTGCCCTCAGTCGTCCTGCGACGTCCTTCCAGCAGCACAATGATCCAATCCATCCCAGTGCTGTTGATCACCGGTGTTGCACAAACCATTGTTTTCCCCTCATTCTGTGGTGTTGCACGAAGATCCTGCACTGGGTGCAAACGTCCACGTTCCCAGCAATCCCTCCCAGTGCTCACACTCAGCCTGGTGCAATGCCTGCTCTCCTTCCTGAGCCAGCTCTGCTCTCACACCTCTGCTGCTGTCTCCATAGGGTGTGTTCCCACGACTCCTCCTGCTCCTCGCTGGGCAGCCTGGCTCAGAACCTCCTCTTCTCACTCCATCTCAGCATGGTGACTTCCCACATGGAGACCCCAAAGCAAATCCTCAGGGGCAGCCCACCTGCAGGGCCTTCCCAGCTGCAATCCGGTGCTTCCCAGGGACTTCAAAGCACCCGATGAAGGCATTCTGGCCCCAACCACACGCACACCCCATCAGCTGTGCTCAGAGCGGAGCAATGGGGAGCTGATGTGCACCTCCAGAGCCTCAGCCCTCCACTCCTCACTCCTCCTGCAGCCCTCACACACCTGAGCATCTTCAGAGGAACACCATCCACCAACAGCTCAGGAGTTTCTCTGAACGCCTCCATGAGAACAGCGTGTGTGGGGACGAGCTCAGCGCTCTCCTCGATGGCAGGAGGGCCAGAAGCAGGGCTGCAGGTCCCACTACCAGCTTACAGAGCCCTGCAGGTTTTGGGGAAGAGCTCTGCTTTTTGCAATCCCAATTTCCCCACGTTTTCCTCCAGCTTCAGCGCTCCTGCAGCTCTCATTTGTGTTTCAAAAGATTCGTCACAGGCGCATACAATGCCACAGCCACGTCCCACCAAGGCACAGCCCCACAGCATCCTCCTGCCCCTGCGTGAAGACCACGGAGAGAACCCAAAACCAGAGGGTTGCGGTGCCCTCCACTCTCAGCTGGGGCTCAGCACTGCTCGTGCCCATGAGAAAAGCTCTTTGGAGGGTGCACAGCTTTGGGCTGCATCCCAGCTCACGGCGACGCTCTCTGTGCCATTCAAAGGCCGCGTCCTCCCTCTTCCCCCTCCTCCCCCCATCTCGACCCAGCTCTTAACATGAGCAGCGTGATGGACAGCACAGCACGGGGAGGCAGAGGGCAGGGCGGGATGCTGCCCTTTGGTAACCCAAAGCGCATCTCTGGCACTCGGGGATAAGGCGGAAAACGCGGCATGGTGGGAACGGCCCGAAAACGAATTCACAGCCTAATGAGCATGTCCAGGTTACCCCCCCCAACCCCCCTACGGATGAAAGCAGGGACAATGAGGCTCCCAGCAGCTCTGGCAGCCGGACAGCAGCAGCCCACGGGACGGCTCGGCTGGCACTGCCATGCAGCAGCCCTGGGAAACGCAGCCTTTGCAAAACCGCAGCGCACACAGAGCGGGAGCAGCTCATCCTACTCTCAGTGCCCCCTCGGATCGTTGTGCTCCATCAGCCCGGAGTGCCTCTTCTATTTATTTTGCTCTTCTGTAACCTAACCCAAGCCGGCAGGTGCAGCCCCTCACAGCAGTTCTGAGCATGGTGCTCACACGCCTGGAGCGAGCAGGAGCTCAATGGGCCGGAGAAACGCTTGGCTCTCCTCCTCTGCACCAGGGCAGGAGGGGGGAGCACTGCAGGGATCCAAATGTCTGCAGCTCCAGCCCCAAACACAGAGGGCACAGGGATGCCCAGAGGCTCTGTGCCCACTGCTGTGCACAGGGGGTTGGTGCTGAGCTTGCTGAAGTCCAGGAGATGCACGGTGCGGGTGTTCAGTTGGGAGCAAAACGCCCCACAGTTGGGCTCCTCAGAACACATCGGGCTCAGGAGAACAAATGCAGCCCTTCTGCAGCCCCAGATGCTGAGTGCTGCACCCCCAAGCACCCAGCAGTGCACAGCCTGCAGGCAGCGCTGCAGGGACTTTGGATCTGGGAGCACCGAGTTGGGATGGAGACGCTCAGCTCACACTGTTTCCTTTTGCTGTGAGCTTTAAGGCGAACCCACCAGCGCTTTTATTGCTCAGTTCCAGCTTTGCAACCAGGCAGATGGAGGGTGCCACTGCCTCCTGTACCTGCTGCTGGAGCCCAGGCCTGGCCCACAAGGGATGGGGATATCAGCAGCACGGCTTCACCTTTCCCCCTCCGCATTCAGCCTCTCTCTCCTTGCTGGAGAGCTCTCACCTCTCCCTTCAAAAGGACTTTGCATGCAAATGGCCCCACGCCAAAGCTGCCCATCAGAATGGAGCAGTTCTGCATTCAGGGCTGACAAAACGGCGCGGAGCTGTGTGTGCCCGAGCGCAATAAAGCGGCCAACAAAGCAGCACAGCAACAACCCGGGCTGAATGGCCGCAAGCAGCAGGTCCTGCCGCCGGTTGCCCTGGAAACCCCACCAGGGCTCACTGAAGGTATTTCCTGAAGAAAAAGCACACACATGCCCCACAGCTCTGCTAATCCCAACAGGAAGCGCTTACCGGGACGTGGGGATTGGTTTCTTTCTTATTTAAAAAGTGCCTCTCCCCGCTGTCCCCCCCCCCCTCCAGCCGCCCATGGGAGTGCTGGGGAGGTGACCAAGTGCCCCTTCTGCAACCCTGCTGCATCCCATTGCAACCCTGTTGCACCCCACTGCAGCCCTGCTGCAACCCACTGCAACCCTGTTGCATCCCACTGCAACCCAATGCAACCCAATGCAACCCTGTTGCATCCCATTGCAACCCTGTTGCATCCCACTGCAACCCAATGCAACCCAATGCAACCCTGTTGCATCCCACTGCAACCCAATGCAACCCACAGCAACCCAAAGCACCCCACTGCAATCCAATGCATGCCACTGAAATCCACAGCAACCCTGTTATCCCACTGCATCCCACTGCAACCCCTGCTGCACCCCACTGCATTCCACTGCAACCCTGTTGCATTTCTACTGTGCACTCACTCCACCCTCACTGCACCCACTGCAACCCCACTGCAACCACGCTGCAGCTGCACTGCTTCCCCACTGCCTTGCACCCCAACGAAGGATGATGCCAAGCACAGAATGCAATGCTTTCTAATGGGCTTTGCCCATCCTGCAATCCCGGGCAGATCTCTCCAGCAGGAGCAGGGAATTGATGCACTGCCCCAGGCTCTGCTCCTCAGAGCAGCACGTGAAATGAAGCAGCATTTAATTACCCAGCATGTCTGTCGTTTGCAAAGCTGTCAGGATAACCACCCGCCCATCCCCCGGGACACCCAGCCATGCTCAGAGCTCAGTGCAGAGCAGCAGTACAGGACAGCAGGCCCTGCACACTGCAAGGGGCACCAGGAGTGCTGCAACCCATGCACATCTGTGGCTCTCTGCAATAAGCAATGGGTTCGCCCTGCAGGAGCAGGAGGGCGTCCCGGGGATCTCCTCCTCTCCCATCATGGGGTGCAAAATGAGTTTGAACATGGGGGGGCTGTGCAAGCAGCCCCGCAGAGCTGCCCCACAGTTGCAGCACAGCCTTGCTGCCTTTCCCAAAGCCTCACATTTCTTTTTTTTTCCTCCTCAATTAAGGGCTGGAGTGACAGCATCTGAGTGGAAAGGCGGGAGGTGGTGAACAATGCCTGCAGACGGGCTGGGAGGGGAAGGGAGCAGCGTGGTGCCCCGCAGCACACAGCCATGCCTGGCAGCACCAGGATGGGGATCCTCACCAGGAGATGGGGCTCAGAGCTGCAGCCCCTCGGCCGCTCCGTGCCCCCACATTCCCCACACACAGCACAGACAGAGCAGTGGGAACAGCAGGGAGGACAATAGAGGACAGGGAGGGAGGAAAAAAATCCCCTCCACAATTTTCTGCAGGTTTCTGTTTAACCTGAAGACAAAGAGCAGCTTTGTGAGGGAGGGAGACAGAGGCTGCTCATGGAAATTTCTTGGCTTTTCCCCTTAACTCGTTTTTTTTTTTGTGGTTTTTTTTTTTCTGGTTTTTTAACCACCTCCAAATTTAGGTAACTATAAAACGCAGCGAGCGCCCATTAATATTTTATTTGCAGCAGATTTTTCAATAAGTTCCTGACAAAGGCTGAGCTGCTGAGCCCCCTCCCCAGCCACGTGGAGGGGCGGCTCTGAGCCCTCCTCTGCACTGAGGTGGGGCTGCCCTGCATGGGGGAGATTAGGGATTCCAGCAGTAAACTGAAACGCCACCAACACCAGAACCAAGTCCGGTGCTGCATCTGCTAAGGAGGGGGACAGCAGAGCTGCCTCCCCTGGGTGATGCTCATGGGGGGATGTGGAACACTGGGACACAACACACGGCTTCAAGGATGCGATGCGTGGCTCTGGGACTGATGCATGGCTCTGGGTTTGATGCACCATTGCCTCCCACACAGCCTGGCCTGGACCTGACTCTCCCGTCCCACCCTGTGCAGAGGCACATATGGTGTCGGGGACGCGTTGTTCCCAGCAGCCACAGCCAAAGGGTTGGGCTCTGTGCAGCCAGGCTCTGTGCAGCCAGGCTCTGTGCAGCCAGGTTCCTGCTGTGGCACTAATTGGGCCGTCCTGGTGAGAGCAGTGCTGGGAAGCATTGCCAGAGGTTACTGCCAGCCTGGCAGGCACCCAGCTCCATCCTCTCCTTGTCCCCTCCACCTCCACCGCTGCCTCCCCAACCCCTCCACGGCTCCCTAAGGACCCCAAAACCCCACCGTCACCCCACACCGCCTTTGCTCTGTGTACCTGCATGGCTTTCATGGGGGTGACTGTGGGGCTCACCAACACATGGGGCTTTCAGTGGGAGGAAAAGGGAAAGAGTGAGCCTTAAAAAAGCAACGCCGTACCGCTCGGACCAGACATTCTCAGGTAATTAGAACCAAAAGGCAGCAGCTAGGCAGCAATCCCTGGCTGCTCTGGTTATTCTCCGCCTCACCAAGGGAAGGGGCCGTGCTTTGAAATGCTGCAGCACTCCGTGCAGCTGTCCTGGGGGCCTGGTGACCCCGGAGGCCCATGCATGGCAGTTCAGCGTGTCCCCAGCCCGGAGCTCAGCAATGCCACACATCCCAGGCTGTTCCCCTTGCAACGCCTTAGGGGTGACTGCTGACCTTCTCCAAAGTTTCCCCCCTGCTTTAAAGACACCCATAGGCAATGCTGGAGGTGCACCCCACGCCACGTATTCACTGCAGACAACACCCCAGCCAGGTTGCACCACGACGCATCGCACAAAACCCCTCGCCGGGCCCCAAAGCTCTGCCTTCTGCAAGGCGAGAGGTCCCAGCTATCTTATCAACAAGGAGAAAAGCAAAGAAGGAGATCTGTTGGCCTTACCTTGGTCAGGAAGCGTGGGGGCCGGTCTGGCAGCTGACAGCGTGGCTGTGACCAGCACAGCCCAAAGGATGAGGGACCTCCAGGTAAACATCCCACTGCTGCGGCTACTGCTCGGCGACTGCGCTCAACCGCCCCTCCATGGGGCCCCGTCGGCCGCTGTGAGCTGCAGAGCGGGGAAAGAGAGTCAGGGCAGAGTTCAGGGCATCCCCCCATGTCCCTTTGCTGTATGGGAATCCCCTGCATCCCACAGCCCCTTTGCTGTATGGGGACCCCCCCCCCCTCCTCTCCGCTCCCCGTGAGGATTGAGCTCCGAGCCACCCCGCCAATGATGGCTGATGTGTTGGGAGCAGAAGTGCTGGCAAAGCAAAACCGAGCACAGCAAAACGCTGGGAGAAATCCTCAAATGCTGTTTGAAGAGAAGGGAGGTTTCTGCTCTCCTCTTTTTTTCCTCCCCCTTCACGCAGTTGGCACTGGAAACAGCAATTCTCATACAAATCAAAATGTTCGCAAGGAGCTTCGATCGTCACGGCTTGGCAGGAGCAGCTTTTGGGTTCCTTGAACTTTTTTTGCTCAGATGCAAAATGGAAAAGGCTCCAGCCTGAGGCTCTGTGGGATGGGAGAGGTGCTGCTGCTCAGCTCCGGAACCCCTTTGTTTTCACATCTTCCTCTACAGACATCCCAGGAAGCTCCAGACTGAGAGCAGCACAGACCCTGGGGGCAGAGCAGCAGGTGTTCACACAGTTAACCTGGGCTGGGAACTCCTGAAGCCCTTTTGGGGTGTCGGGGTGACCCCACGGGAGATGCCTGAGCCTCTTTGCTTTGGGAACAGTGCTGTGACCTCACAGCCTTAGGTGCACGAGCAGCAGAGCCACCAGCAGAGCTGGAACAGGAGGAGGACGTTCCTTAACCCTCCACTTCTCTCTGCCTTCCACCCTTCCCAGCACTGAGCTGTGCTCTACTGCTCTGTGCTCCAACGCAGCCAAACCCAACTCGAGCTGTCAGACCCCAAAGCCTTTGGGCTGCAATCCAAGAGCTGCACTCCTCCCTCGGTGACATCTGCAGCTCCACAACAGCCTCCAGCCGAGGTCCCGACACCGGCGGTCACTAATGGTCCCCCTGGGCTCCCACAGGGCTCCGTGCCCCATCTTGCACAACACTGGGATGGATGGCTGCTCCAGGACCAAGGGGACAACACAGAAATGGGGATGCAGCCGTGTGAGCTCACCTGGTGCTGCTCTGACATCAACCCAAAGCCCCGTTCAGAGCGCACCGTGCGAATAAGTGCTTCCTTGCCATATGGGATCCACCTCAAAAGCACATTACTACAAGGTGAGTAAACCACTGCAGTGAGTAATGGGCCACCACTCATCCCCCCACGTGCTCCTGCTTCCCAGTGAACCCTTTCCCACCACGGAGCATCCTCTGTCCCAAAGGATTTAACCCCAGGGCAGCTTTTGCCTCTTCCCTTGCCAGCTCTGCAGCATTTGGCACCCAAACTATTCACACAGGGACACCCAGCAAACACCAGCATCATCTCCGCCGGTGAAAACACTGATGGAGTGTGAGCAATTTATCAAGGGGTTGGAAGGAGGAGGTGGTAATGTTTCGTGGGAAAAAAAAAAAAAAGCCATTGGCATTTCTGGAAATTATTTTCTGTCTCTCTGTGGTTTTGTTTATCAGCAGCATCCCCCCGGAACATGCCCTAATGTGGAGTGGCTGCAGCTCTCCCCCCCCCTGCACAGTGCACACAGCAGCTCCCAGCAGTGAGTCAGGGCACAGAGTGGGGCTCAGCTGCAGTGGGACGGGCGCTGACTCAGGGGCCGACAGCAGAGAGTTTCCATTGCAGCAGTGATGGTGATGCACACAGGGCAGAGCAGCCCAGGAACCCTCCAACCTGTGCACAGAAAGCACAGCTCCACTCTGTGTGGAGATATGGATCCCCACAGGAATCTGCTTGCACCGAAAGGCTGCAGCCTCAGCGTGGGTTTCCAGCTCCTTCCATGCATGCACTGTCCCTGCCCGCTGCAATTTGCTGGTTGGGGTGGATTCAAGTGACTAAAAATGGAAGCAGAAAAGCGAGGAACCAGAACGAAGGGCCCCTTAGAGACCTGCAATTACAACGGCCACGACACCCACGGGGCTATTTAGGAGCTGAAGGAACACCCCTGTGCCCACCTGTGCGCACTCCCACCCGAGCACAGCCTTTGCCCACGTGCCCACATGTGCAACCTGCCCGCCCTGCTGTCCTCAGCACGACCCTGGACCTTCGCCCCGTGCTGTGAGTCAGGGCTGAGCCAGCGGCACGCACAGCCCGGCCCCTGTGCTGAGCAGAGCACAGTGGGGAAGCCCCTTCCCAGCTCATGGCTCATCCCTGGGAACACGTCCAAGGTGAGGAGAGAGCAGAGAGCCCACGGCACTGGGGCACCCCGGGGTGGAAATGGGGCTCAAGGGGTCACCAGAACATCTCTAGGAGCTCTACGTGCCCCAGTGTGACCATGGGGACCCTGAGGTGACGCCCCTCCCATGGTGGTGACCACAAATGGGAGACCCTGACAGACACTGATGTAAGGAAGGAGGGTGAATTCGGCTCCGAGCGCCCTTGCAGCAGAAGGACACAGCAAAGGCAAAGCTCCTGGTGGCACACAGAACCTCCTCCTTGCCCTGCACTCCTTGACCCAGCCGCATGCTCAACCAAGTATTTGCTGAAATAAAAAGCAAACACGACTGCAAATGTAACTATAGGGAAAATCAGTAATGCTTAAAGCAGACGCATGCTTGGAAAAATAAATATCCAACTGTGCGGGCTGCATTCAGTGTTAACCCTTTGCAGCCACGTGTTGCATCCTGCTGCACACCAACAGCTCCTGCACCGAGTTACGGTGCTCTGCGTGCATGCAGTGGTGTGAGTGGGGGTCTGGTGGGGCGCAAGGATGGGAAAAGCTCAGTAAAACCAGATCAGGTTTAAAAGCTTCCCGAAAGCAAGGCATCCCCACCCGAGGGCTTCATTTTCAGATACGCTGAGCACCCCCAAAGGTCCCCCAAAGGCTGCTCCAGGCTGGTGGTGCTGAGTGCTCCGGCACAGGGCTGTCCCAGAACGGACACCAGATCACAGCCCCCACTCCCTGGAAGAGGCAGAGCAGTTCTCCAGCTGGGAGGGAGCGGGATGGGGTTTGCTGCACTCAGCTCCTCCCAGGAAAGCTACTGCGGGCGGAAGGACACGCACTCCTCCAGCAGACCCATCCCCTGCTGCTCACATTTGCCTTCATCCCCAAAAACCAGAAGGTCCCAATGAGGGGAAAGGCAAACTGCTGGGACAAGCATCTGTGCTCCAGGCCCGGCTGAGCAACGGGGCTTGGAGATCCTCAGCTCCCAGTACAGTTTATTTGTTTCCAGGCAAATAAATAAACAGAGAGATCCTGTTTGCACCTGAAAGCAGCTTGGGCTCCTTCCCAGCAGGCGCGCTGTGCAGCGCAGCACCGCTCTTGCCGGGCCAGGGACGATCCTCATTTGTTTTAATCCTCTCTGAGCAACACAAGGAGAAGGCAACGGTGCATGCCAGGCACGGCGGAGATTAAGGGAGGAAGTGCTCCTGTGCGGGGAAAATGGCTGCTGGCCGGAGAGAGAGGTGAGGGGCTCCGTCCTGCAGCATCCCCGGTGCGGGCACATCCCCGAGAGCCCCGCGATCTCATGAGAGCAAATCACAAAGCCCGATTTTCCTCCTCCCGGGACTCGAGCAGCCTCCAAACCCTGAGTTTTGTTAACGCAAGCATTCGGCAGGAGAGCACTTTGGAGGTCTGGCCGTTGAGCCGTGACGCGCGGAGCAGCGCCGAGTTATCCAACAATCCGCACGGCGTTCGGCCGTCATCTGAACGCGTTGCAAACGGACGCGCAGCGCCTCTCGCTCCCCCGCGGCAGCCGCCGGCCCTCGTCCAGGAACCGAACAGCGACCACAGAACCACGCGGAGCCCCGCGCCCGCCGGTCCCGCACACATCGACCCCGCAAACGTCGCGAGCGCTGCGGCGTAGGGCGGCCGCCACGCTGCGCACACGCAAGAGCCGTTCCCAGACGCTGGCAAAGAGTTCGGCAGAAGAACGCTCCGATCCCTCTCACCTCCCACGCCAACACGCACAAAGATCTCAGCCCGGCTCATTTTCATCGCCTCCGCCGCCGATTTTTACCGAAAGGCCCCAACATCTCGGAGTTCCTAACGCAACAAATCCAGCTCTTTCTCCATCTTCTTTTGGAAGCCGCCAGGCTCCCGCCCAGCAACTTTGGGTGGCCGAGGGCCGGGCAGCAGCACCGAGCCCCTACCGGATCCCCAGCGCTGGGGGTCCCGGAGCTCGGCACCGAACCGAGCAGCGCGCACCGACCCGAGAACCGGGCACCGAGCCACCGCGCCTCCGAAGTGCCGCCGGGCGGCTGCCCGGGGTGCCCCGGGGTTCAGAACCGGACCTCCGCCGCAAGCACACCGAACCGCTCCGGTGTCCCTAAGCTCTCCGAACCTCCGGTACCGCAGCCCAACGCCCGCGGTGCCCGCAAGCCGCAGCCCCGCTCTGCTCGCAGTGGGGCCCCGTCGGGCCGCCCCCCCCGGCGGATGGGGATGGCCGCGATCCCGGAGCGATCCCCCCCGCGCGGAGCACAAAGCGCCGCCCCGCTCCTTCTCCCCGTACTCACCGGAGTCCCGCGGGGCGGCGGCGGAGGCGCGGTGCCCGCCGCTCCCGGGAACAATGGAGGGGAGCCCCGGCCGGGGCGAGCGCGCAGCCCCGCCGCCGCCGCGTTCAGTGCGGCCGCCCCATGGCGGATCCCGGCCCCGAGGTGGCGGCGGGAGGCGCTCCCGGGAGGCGCGGTCCGCCCCGACGGCCGCCGCTCAGAGCTGCCCGCACCGCCGCGTCCCCGCCGCGCGCTGCCGCCGCCGGACTGAGCCGCTCCCGCAGCGCCCCGCCGCCTCCCGCCGGCTCCTCCCCCGCCTTCTTCCCAGCCCTCCTCCTCCTCCTCAGCGGCCTGATGGGGCTTGTAGTCGGCGCCGGGGCGCCCCCTCGGAGCCCCCGTGCTGCGCTGCCGGCAGCCGCCCCGGGACGGACTCCCGGGTGTGGGGTGCAGGGGGGGGGGTCTGAAGGCGGCTGTTTTGCCCCCAAAAACTCCTCTCGTGGAGCGGGTTGCTCGAGGGACTCTTGCAGCCTTGCTCTCAGCCATGTCTCGCCCCACTGTGTGCCCTACACTGCAGGGCTCCCTTCCCCAGCACACAGGGTGCAGGTGTGGGGCAGCCCCGTACCCCAGATCTTTTGCAGAGCAATAGCCCGGGCACCCTACCCCTATCCCTACCCCTAACTCTCATCATGGGACAGTTTTGTGTGGAGTTTCTAGCCTCAGCTCTTTCCTGGGAGCCACCACCATTGCTGCAGTTCGTGCTGTGTGTTCCCTGAGCTCTGGTGCAGCTGTTAACGCTCAGCACCCCAAAAAATCTCTGCATACACAGGCAGCACGTGTGCTTTTTGCTTAGGGCTGTGCTGAATGCTCGAGTTGAAGACACGGAGATGTACGGCTGTGCCACGGAGCCCAGCCTGGCCTGACCCACAGAATGCCAAGTTGGGCAGCCAGATGGAGCTCAGCACAGGGTGAGATCCCCAAATCCAGCCCTGGGCTCAGCCCAGCAGCCCCCAGTCAGCCTCACACCAAGGCAGCCTGGAATAAAGACATCTCCTGGCTGGCAGGGAAAGATCTGCGCAAGGCAATGTGCAAGTGATTAAGTTATAACAGGGAAGAGGACAGGCTGAATTAGCCCTGTCAATCACCATCGCTATATTTGAACCAAATGCTGGGCATCCATCTCAGGAGCAGCCTCTTGCTGCTTCAGGCAACTGTTCAGAACGCTGTGCCAAGACCCACGGAATACTTTCTTTCCAGGATGACAGATGTGTGGACAGAGGGAGGGGAAGGTACCATGCGTTCTTCCCTTGGCAAACCAAGGCTGTTGAGAGCAGGGAGCACAGGGACAGGCAGAGGATTCACGTCCCTTTTGTTCTTGTGATGGTTTTCTGCTGGACTCCATCAATGGACACCGGTTCCATGGGCCCTTATGAGTAAAGGAACTGGCAGACAACAGGGAAAGCATCCCCTGATTCATGAGGCTGAAGGACAGACCCACATCTCCTGCCTCAGCATCACAGTGGGGCTCAGAGTGGGATTGACCACAAGCTGTCACCATCTGGTGGCACAAATGGAGCATAAGTGGGTCCTCCTGGAAGAATGGGGAACCCAAAACCGCCACTGAGAGTGATGGAGACCACTGGGATGTGGGGTGGGCAGAGGGCTGGGATGGTGCCTCAGTGCCCCCTGCACACCCAGGGGGGTTCTCCTGGTGTTGCCATGCTGTGCCATTCCGTACCACGCCATCAGTGCAACCTGAAGGTGGTGCAGATGGGGATTTCACAGGAACCCGCGCTTGTTGTTTGACTGCCCTTAATCAAGAGCAGCGTTAAGATAAACGGGACGTGGGCTTCCATTGGCGGAACAGCTGAACAACTCCCTGTGCCAGCAGCTGGGGACCTGCGTGCGTGTGCTGCTGTGCTCCTGTTTGGGCAGCAGGGACAGAACTGAAGGCGCTGCTGGGAGAAGAGGAGCGGCACAATGGAGCAGTTCTGCCCTGACCTTCGGTTTCCCACTTAAAGCTCTGCAGCTCTCCCCTCCTCCTCACCACAAAAGGGCTCCTTTCAGTCTCTACTTCTGCATTTAGAAAACAAAAGCAGATGCAGCTAGTTTAGGTTTGGAGAGGGGGAGGCAGGAGCGAATGCTGAATAACAAAGAGCTTTCCCTGAAAGATCCCACTGACAAAGACTTTGCAGCTTCATCCCTCCCTGAAAAGGCCGGGGCACATCTGGGCTCAGCCTGGCTGTGGGTCTGCCTGCTTGCAAGAGGGGCTGCGTGTGCACACGTCTGCGCTTTGCAGTGCATGCCTGAGTGTGCTGGAGGTTTGGATGTGCACCGAGCATGCACCTGCACCGTGGCAATGTGTGGGGCTGCAGGACGCCCAGACCGTGCTCTGATGGGAGTCTGCACTCTGATAGGAGTCTGCACCAACGCACATCACCTTTACTCTGCTTCTTCTTGCTGCTTGGCCTTTGCAGGACCACGCGTTGCTCTGAAGAGCTTCCAGGTGCACTGCCGACCTGAGCAGCAAACCTTGGAACATCTGAGTCACAGCGAGCAGCTCAGCCACGCTTCCCCCAAAGCTGGGGCTCTCCAGCTGCAGAGCTCAATGTCTGGTGAACCATCAGAAGGAGAAACCCAGCCCCAAACCCAGCCCTGGCCACCCTGCCACCGGCCACAAGGACGCAGCGGAGAGCTCGCCTGGCAGCCTGCACAGAGCACCAACTTTCCCAGGAAAAAGTGACTCATGAAAACCAGCAGCACCAGGGAACAAATATTAGCTGCCGGGCATGATTTAGGAGCTGAGTACAGCTTCTACAGGAAGCCCCCTCTTTCCCTCTCTGCTCTGACTCAATAAAGCATTATTAGCTGCTCTGGCTGCAGCCACATCGCTGCCAGAATTGCTGGGCTTCGCCTGCCTGTGCCCCACTCTGACCACGCTGGCTCCAGGATGCTGCTGACCCAGGCTAAAGGGCTGCAGCACTGAGCTCAGCCACTGCAAAAGTTCTCTCCTCTCCCTGAGGTTCCTCTGCTATTTTCATCGACCCGAAGCAGCTCTTTCCTTTGCCAGTTGCATCTTAACAGCACTGAAACATCTTCTGTCCGTGCTGCTTGGCTGCCTGTCTGACGGTGATGGAAGGAAATGGCCCCAGGCATCACTGCCAGCCAGAGGAGAGGGCCAGAGGTGCCCAGAGCACCCACAGAATGACACTGGGGGGTCACAGATGTGGCATTTGGGAGGCTGAGCAAGGAGCCATAGTGAGCAAGGAACCACAGTTTGGCGCAGCCAAAGAGAGCAAAACACAAAAGCCATCCTGCCTTGCATTCAAAGGTCCTGAGCGCAGCTTTTCTTCCTCTTCCCCTGACGTTGTTCCCAGCTGGCTGTGTCCCCATGGCACCTCTTGTCCCCACTGAGCACTGCCCAAGCAGGGTGCACTCCTCCAGCAGTGCAGTGTGCTGCTGCCTTGCAATTGCCAAATTCCACAGAGCCCATTAACACGTCACATGCTATTTTACTGCCTGCAGACAGCAGTTGGGGCAGACTGTTGCACGGTGGTGTTTGCAGCCAGGGCAGCAGTCAGTGCTTCCCTAGAGCAGTGGCTCTGCATGATGGGATGCATCCCACCTTTGCTGTGGGCTCTTGACTGCTTGAAGCCCTCTGCAAGCAAAGCTGCAGCCTCCTCAGTGCTATGCCAAAATGTCTGTCCAAGAAATCTGCGTTTGGTTCGTGCATCCTTGTCTCACACCTGGGCAGCTCTTGCCAATGCTCAGCTCTTACTGCAAGGGCACTGCAGGCTCCTCTCACCTCCATCCATCCCACAGTGGAGGTTTGGTTTGCTCAGAGCTGAGCAGCACACAGAGGAGCATTCAGTGCTGCGCATCCTCTGCACAAAGCGGGTGCGACTTCTGTCCCCCATTGATTTGCTCTCTCAGTGCTGTGATGCTCAATAAGGTGTACCAGCAGGCAGCCAGCATTTTCATCAGCTGCAGTGATGCTCTGCTCATCCTGCACTGCTCTCAGTGATGGTATCAGCAGCGCTGAGCCCAGTGTTCTGCCTCCGTGTTGCTGCAAAGATTCCTTCGCTCAGATAATCTGATAATAGCGTTTTCTGCACGCTGTCATTTAGGAGCCCAATGGCAGCTCCTTTCATCAGGAGAAGGGCTGCAATTATGTGTCATTACCCATGGGCTATGATTTTTCTCCCACTACCTACAGTGGTTGGTGTCGGGTGTTGTTTTTTTCTTCTTTCTTTCAAGCAACACTCGGATATTTATAGTGGGGAAAAAGCCACAGCCAACAACAAACAACGGGGTGATGTTCCCCTGCAAGGGTATAAAAGGAGAGTGGAGCAGAGCAAACTCTAAATAGCTTCTGAGCCTGGAAGGAAGGAGAGCAGCCCTATGGGCTGGGCAGAGTTGCTTCCCAGGTTCTGATAGAGGAAGGGCTTGCTGTGATGGCGGTGCTTCCTCTGCTCCCTCCAGCACCTGATTCATGACCTGGGGGGAAGTGTTGGGTTTGCTGCCCCAGATGTGGCAATGGGAGAGTTTTTTACAGCCTGAAGGATCCCCATCCATGCAGCCCAGCACCGACCCCTGTGCTTCCCTATGCTCCTTTCAGAGGAGCTCCCTGTGCACATCTGAGTTTTTGGGAGGTGACTCCCCTTGTGTTCCCTGTCCCCTTTAACACTGGGACTCTCCCTTCTCGCAGGCTGCCTTCCTGTCTAGACAGCCCTGTGGAAGCTGCAGTATTTATAGCCCGGGGCAGAGCTGTGCCCGCTTGTTGTGCCAAACCCACACGAGGTTGCTGCTGCCGGGCCGGAACGGAGATGCCTCCCACATGCTGGAAGAGGAGAGGAGGAGGAGGAAGGCCAGGCAAACCACAGGCAGGCCCTAAACTCCCTAACCCCCAACAGATTGCATGCTGCTCCTCTCACCTTCCCTTGTGGGGTCACTGGGCTCCTGTGGCCTTTTCCTGCTCCCACAAGCACCCGGTGAACCGCTGCATCCCTCAGCGCAGAGCATCTCTTGGCCCACACTGGGGACCTGG